ATATTTTTGTACAATATCTCTCCTATGAATATTAAGGGACACTTTGTTAATATAGGTGTGGATGGAAACAGACCGAATTTTTCAACTAATTAATGACAATCTCTTAGAGAAAACGCAAAAAAATTGCTGTTACAAACTATGAAAATCTGGATGCTTTTAGAAGTTCTGAAATATTATGTTTAAAAGACGGAAAGTAGCATTAACTTTATGCCTGGCAGCAAGTGTTTTTGAAAACTGAAATAAGTTTTAAATAACTTTTCGAAAGTGCACAAATATGCAAGGACATTTCTACACAGTATTAATTTCGATTAATTTCGATTTCCATATTAATTTGCGATTGTCAGTATTCTTTCTTTCTCGTCTCCTTCGTAGCTTTGCTCCTTTTTCGCTCAACCTATCGCGTGCTCGTTGTTTGTTCGTTCGCTTTTCCGTTCGTTTGTTTGTCAGTTCATTCGGATGGACGGCTGCTCGCTTCTTTGTACATTTCTCGTGCATGTGTTTTGTTCGCACTTGATATGCCGGTCGCGAATATTCTTCACTCAAAGTTATTTTTTTCGTCACCACGATACGGGACACAAACTTAGCGCGTGAAGCGGATTGGATATTTAGTCATACGCACAAGCTGGACTCTATGGAAGAAGACAGTTCAGCAAACCAAGAAACTGGACCGCAGTGCAAAGAGGTTTGTTTGTTTTGTGAACTGAGTGCTGAGGAGGGTGTTTGATTTGTGTTATTACCCATGGGGTTTCGCTCTTACATGTTTACGAAATCGCCTCTTATTACAAGAGGGGAGCGCCAGCTTAACTGTCAAACTATTTCCTCATGAGCATTATCCAGTAGATAAATTGCTATTTGTTAGACAAAGATAGGACAAGATTCCAATAGGTAACGCAACCAAGTCAATTTGCGGTGAAACACTGAGATCAAGTCGCTCTGCACTTAAACCGTGAACTTAGTGGTATACAATGAAATAAGGTCGCTCTTCTTTCTGTTATTTGTTTGGATAAATATATTACTATGGAGATAACTTGTTTGATAAACACTTAGCGAGATGGTTAAAATTCAAATGCTGTGGTGTTTTTGTTGTATGATGATGTCAAACTTTTTTCAGAATACCGTTTGATTGCCTTTTCAGTCACAACGATGTGTGGTCATTATGTTTGTCACGTGTTTAAGAACGGAAGGTATTGCTTTTACCCATAATATTTCCCAATCAAATTGCGTAAGAACTATGAGCTGGTGTTATTTTTCTGTTTCTTTATAGGTGAGTGATTTTCAATGATCGTAAAGTTACCTTGTCAGAGAAGCTGCCAAACGATCTTCGGTATTTGTATTTGTACCAGCGAGTGTAAAATTGACGCAATCATGCGCAGTCTGTGTTTTTCTGCGCTTTGTAAGTACTTCAGTGAAGTTTTGCGCGGAGTTGGGACAGAGACAGAAGTTGGAAAATCAGGTCTGCAGTGGATTTGAAAAGTAAAAGACCGCTGGCTTGTTGACAGACGTCTTCAGATGTCATGTTAGCTTTTTATTTGGATCTAAAAGAACCTTCACAAGCGCTTATTCTGAATAATGATTGTGATAATTGTTGTAATGTCAGCCTAGAGGCAACCTTAATCAGCTTTGCTTGCGACTGAACGATGTAATTTTGTAAATCCCTTTTCAAGTGTTATATAACATTGATTCTAATTACCAGTTGCCTTGAAGGCGTCTCCCTCTGCGTGTAGAGAGATTGTCTTTATAGATGGCTGCAGAGATAACCCTAAACCCTTTTGGTAGGTCAAAGAAAATCTAAATCTATGGGGCTTATTTGATCTTGTTTGTTCATAGAGGTCCTTA